GTATACTAGAGGGAGGGAGCTCTGGTGGCCTGATGGCAAGAAGTTGCACACAAACCCGAAGACATATGGTTCGAGGCCACCAGCTGCTCTGTGGCAGAAGGATGGACAATCTCTTCTTATGTGATTAACTGCTTCTGTAAACCCAATGGAAGGTCAGCTATGGGTCAGCTCCGACTCTATGGTACACAAGAAGAAGAAGGGTGAGGCTGAAGAGGAAAAAAAAAATTACATACTCTCCCTAATCAGACAGTTAACATACAATAATCCTGTGAAATAGAATATATGAACCTCCTTTTATATGATGAGAAAACCAAGATTTAATCAGCAAGCTACTTAAAGCCACATAGCTACTAAGTGATGGAGATAAAATTCAAGTCTAAGTCTTTACATTCTAAATACTTTTCTTTTTCCAATGTATTGCACCACAGTCCACCTTGACAAAATTTCAGTTTAATAACCACTCATTTAAATCTTATTATACTATTTTCCCTTGATCAAGTCATAACATCTTAGGAATTGAAGGGAAACTTCAAATTTTCTACATTCTTCTGTTTCCTTGGATGTAGTTTAGAAAAATAAAGAGTATTAAATTTATTGCTTCTTCTGCAAGCAAGCTAGACTATTATATTTTTAGTCTATCATCTATAGCTAAACACTAGTTGTTTACTTAGTTACATTCTTGGCTGTTTTCTATATCCTTTCAGCTTCAGATTATGTAATAGGTCATGTTTACTTATTTTAGCTGTGTTTCTGTGTGGCTAGTTCTTTTCTAAATATATAGAATGCTTTGCATTCAGTCTTGAAAGTCCTGATTAAAATCAGGGCTACTGCACTGCTCAAAGCTGGGCAAAGGGCACCCATTTAATTGTCTATATATTAAGAAATTACACCTGGAGTCTTAGAATCCAGGCCTGTGTGTGTGCAGCTGCTTGGTTAAAATCTGAGGACAAAGGAAATGTATATTGTTAATAGTTCTCAGGTGCTGTTGTTTCCTCTCTGACTTACAGAGACCCAAAGTATAACAGAAAGACATCATGCCTTATCATGTGCCATCCTTCCAGTCTCTGCTGTACTTAAACATGGTTAAACATGGTTGTAACAACTTTGTAAATCTATCTCATTGAAAGTCGTCTTCTTTTTTCCATGTGGCCAATTTGATTCCTTTTAGCTACCACATACGTGGATCTGACTTTTCTCTTTGCCATTTCCTACTGGATAATAACAAGAAAAAATGTCAAGCCCAGGGACAACCAACACATTCACTTTGGCACTGTGATGTAAATTGTGTACTTATTATAGAAAGATGCTTAATCTAATGTATGCTTCTGGGGATTTCTTGATTGGGACAAAAGAGAATCTCTTAATTGTCTGTAGGACTCATCCTAGGATCAATCATCTCCAAGAGGAAGGTTTCAAATTTCTTCATATATGAATGCCTACAGGAATGAGGGCCAAATCTGCTAGTTCTACCTCCAAGTTCTAGACTGATCTTAAACGAGAAAAAGTTGCTGAGCTATACAAGAGAAGCAGTTGAGTAGCAACCAGCCTTAACTAAGCTTCCCACAAAACCTAAGGTAAATTTAACTTAACTGAGTTTCAAATTAAATATTTGAGCTAGTATTTGATATTTCTGACCCAGCAGGAGAATTCTTAATTTTTCTATTTGGCAGTTATCTGAAAACTCCTACAGGCTGTAAAGATCAACCCTTTAACAATTTTGTAAACATTTAAAGGTTTTGATCTTGCCTTTTCAAAAATAATTTCCTTGTCTTTTTCTTTTTGAACCCTCTCCTATGCAAGCCCGCAGGCAGTTTCAACTGGTGTCATTTCCCTATTAATAATAGTGGAAAGAAAAGAGAATTGGCAATGAATGGTAAGAGTTGGAATGTCTAGCAACAGAACGCTTGTGAGACCGCTCTCTCTCTCTCTCTCTCTCTCTCTCTCTCTCTCTCTCTCTCTCTCCCATTCTTGATATGAATAAAGAAACCTTTTCCAGAAGTTCCCCAGCAGACTCTCCCTTGTTTATTAGCCAGAACTACATCACATGGCCATATCTTGTGACACTGCTGTTTAAAGGAAATGTGTGATATTACAACATCCATTTGTGCCTCCAAGTTTGACTGCCATGACCATCAACTTGATAAGACAGAATGAATAACTCCATAGTATTTGAATTCTTGTTACGTGAGAGAATAAGTGTAAACCATCAAGCTCCATTTTTCTGTTAGGGGGCTTCCACCTTCAGGTAATTGAAAATCCAACTCATCTAGCTTATAAATGAGTTCCCTCATTCTGTGTTTTAACGAATACAGAACTGTCAAGGAATATAGAGCTGTCACATTTTACAACATTTTTTCTTTTAGGTCTCCACCTAAAGCATTCTCATCATATAATTGTTTGATCTTTTATATAATCACAGAAGTTGTCTTTATAAAATTCAAATCATGTTACAACTCTGAGTAAATCCTTCAAAGATTTTTAATGCTAGATATACTCCAATTATTGCCATTTGTTGACCAAGCTGTGTTCTTTCTCTCCTATGCTTTACAAATGCTGTTCCTATGCTCAGAATCCCCTCTGATAAATAACTCACAATTCATCTTTCAAAGACCTTCAACTTCTGGTAAGTACCTCAATCTCCCAAGGTTGCACAATGTTCCTCTTCAATACTCCCTGAATTCTCACTAAACTATGTATTGTCTCTTTTACTGACTTAGGGAGAACTTGTGGCCACATAGCAAGGAACTGTACTGCCAAGCCAAAGATAAGAGGTTCAAGTCTACCAGCTGCTCCTAGGGAAAGAAATGGGCAATCTTCTTCTGTGCGATACAGACTCTGAAAACCCACTGGAGGGTCAGCTATGAGTTTAGTTTTTACTTGAGAGCAAAGAACATGTAGTCAGTGCCTTCCAGGTGCTAGGTATTACTCTAAGAGTTTGAGATAGAAATGCATATGAAGATACCTGCCACTAGAAAGCACTAGGTCCACAGTAAATGTTTACAAATTATTTCCCTTTTAAGCATCTTGTTTGTGGATCAACAGGAAACACTGTAATGAAAGGACTGCAGATTCTCAGATGAGAATTTCTGGCAAACAAGGATTTATTGTTCAGAAGTGCTGTCACATACCATCTCAGACAAGGGTTTCATAACAAAAGTTTACAGAATACTCTTAGGCTTCCACAAGAAAGTGGGCAAAAGACATGGAAAGATTGGCCGACAGACACATGAAGAAATGCTCAAAATCACTGGCAGTAAGAGAGATGCAAAGCAAAACCACAATGAGATACCATCTCACTTCAGTAGCAGTGGCAAAGTTTAACAGGAAAGCAAGTAATGAATGTTGGAGAGGATGTGGCGAGATAGGAATTCTTACACATTGTTGGTGGGATTGTGAAATGATATAAACATTCTGGAAGGCAGTTTGGCACTTCCTCAAAAAGCTGAACATAAAAATTCCATATGACTTAGCTATTCCACTGCTTGCAATATACCCCGAGAAAATGAGAACTGAGGCACAGACAGACACCAATGTTCATAGCAGCATTATTCACCATCGCAAGAACATGGAAAGAGCCCAAATGCCCACCCATAATCGAATGGATTGAGAAATTATGGTACATTCACACAATTTAATACCACACAGCACACAGGAGCAATGATATTGTGAATCGCTACCTAACTTGGGAGGGATTGGAGAGCACTATGCTAAGTGAACTCAGTCCCACAAGGATAAATACTGTATAAGACTGTTACTGTAGAAAAAATATGAGGATCCAAGCTGGAGCACAGGGTTGAGGACGAGGAGTTTTGTAACCATAGAGTCATATAATTTTATGGGTGAGGGTGGGATGAAGGAAATGGGAAAGATCCATTGTGAAAAACAATGTACTATTTAACTTTGTAAATAAACTAGTATAAAATTTTTAAAAAAATTTAAAAAAGAATGAAAAAAGGCCACAAAAAAAAAAAGTACTGCCACTGCTCTTTAGAATCAGGGACAATTAAGTAGAGATGGTCACTGTTAAATTGGTTTTTTGACCTTGTTCTCAGCAACATACAGCAGCTGGCCTCACCTTCATAAGAGAATTTTATACTCACAAGTAGCATTTCTGAGGTTGCAGCTTCCTCCCCACTGCAAACCTCCATGGGTTCAATCTGGGACTGTATCATCTCGGTGCTCCCTTCTCTAGTTTGCTGGGGACATTGCATGAAACGGCACCCCGTGAACACAGCAGAGCAGAGGCAGAGATTGGTCTAGGCACAAGGACAATTTCCTCCAAAAACTGGAAATAATTTAAAGGGACCAAGGGGAATCTTTAAGTCTACTTCTTACCATGCCAGCTTTTATTGAGGTGAGAGGTTATTTGGAAATAAAGACCAAACTGATTTTCTTTTCAGAAAACATGTTTGGTTATTTGGTGTTGTTTTTTTTTTTTTAAATATAGAGTCCTAAGTGCTCTGCGGGAAAGGTTTTTATTGTGCAACCGCTCCGAGGCTCTGAAGTAACAGAATGATTACACTACGGACATGATTACACTGGTATAATCTCTAGTGGCCAACTGAAGAGAGCAACGGGTGGGATTTTACCTCCCGGGAAGAAAGGAAAACTCAATGGTCTCAAAGGTGTACTGGATTTAAGCACGATTCACATTAAGTTCAAAACAAGTAATAAAACAGCAAATACTGAATGCCTGGCAATTTAGTTGCTTCACAAGGAAAGGGAAAGAGAATCAGAACTGTAAAAATAAGAACTCGATTAAGTTTGACTCAGTTTTTACAAGTTAGCCAAAGGCTCATTCTCTCTCCAGCACAATTCAGGCAAGGTTGGTGGGATTGGAAGGGAGAAAATGAGCGGGAGGAATAGAGGGGTTCAGCTTCTGTGTAATTCTCTGGACGACTCTTCTGCCCTCTGTGGTGGTGCACTTTGCCATAATCCTGCCCCATCTTGAGGTTGCGCTGCGGTGACAGTCCTGCCTCTGTCATCCAGCACCCTGAAGCCTAGAAGACGCTTTCACAGGAGCAGGGCGGGGGCCGGGGTCGCGGCGGAGGTGGGCGCATGCAGCCCTCTTCCAGCTGCTCCCGCCGAGCATGGTGATAGTGGGGATGAGGCCAGCGGTGACGGTGGAGCGCCTGGTGGCTACGGATGTCCTCTTCGTCGTCCTCTGAGACTCCTTTCCGCGCGCAACAGACGGCGACTAGGCGTTTCCTCCAGACCCGGCAGTGGCGAGTCTGGAAGAAGAAGTAGACGAAGGGATTGAGCGCGTGGTTGGCGACTTCAAGGACGTGCAGCACAGCCCGCAGGCCCTCCTCGCCTTCCGCGTCTCCCGTGGGCCGCCGCGACCACGCAGCTGCCAGCTGGGCGGCGAAGGAGGGCAGCTCGCAGCCCACGAACAGCAGCGCCAGCACCAGGCTCATCTTCAGGCTCTGCACTTTGGCGCGGGGCAGTGCGTTGGGCGCCGGGGCACGGCCGGGGCTCTCGGACCAGGGTGCTGCGGCGGCCGGAGCGCGGGGCCGGCGCTGCCACCAGGCGCAGAGCAGGCGGCTGCAGGCCACGCTCATGACCGCGACGGGCGCCACGAAGCCCGCAAAGACCTCGTAGAGCGTGTAGATCTGCAGGTGCCAGCGCGGTGAGGGCGCAAAGATGCTGCGGCAGCGACGTCCCCCAGCCCCGGCTCGGACCGCAGGGGTAGCGGGCGGCTGGTGCGGCCCCGGCGGCG